TGGGTGTGGGGTGTGTGTCGATGTGGGTGTGAGGGTGTGGGTGTGGGTGTGGGGTGTGTGGGTGTGTGTCGATGTGGGTGTGGGTGTGTGGGTGTGGGGTGTGTGGATGTGGGGTGTGTGGATGTGGGTGTAGGTGTAGGTGTCTGTGGGTGTGGGTGTGAGGGTGTGGGTGTGGATGTGGCTGATGTTTTTCCTTCCTTCACGCCGGCATCCACACCCCCACACCCACACCCCACACCCACACCCACCCACACCCACACCGACATGCACACCCACAGCCCACACCCACACCCACCCACACCCCCACCCCCACACCACACCACATCCACACCCACACCCCACACCCCACACACACACCCCACCCACACCCATACCCACACCCCTCTTGTAGAAAAAGCAAATAGATGTGTCAACATTAGTGGTAAGAATAATTACTTCTTTATCTTCTTTTGTTTTATATACATCAAGGTTATCATATTAAGTACGAAACCTCATGACATATTTTGAATATAATTCTTCTGACAACAGAAATAAGTGATATGTGGTTAAATAAAGAGTATTTAGTTGATAAACTAGAACAATATATATCACAATTAGATATGTACTGGACCACTTTCTTCGATACCGGAATCGGTATCTGTTTTATTCTTTGATTTCAGTTCAGTCCTATTAAAAATATACATATTAGGAATCATTGGTATGGTGCGAAGAGAAAAGGTATATTTATGAAATAAATTTCTCTTGGTGAGTTGTGAAGCTTTTCACAGTGATATACTTTGACCTGTTTAAAAACCTATCAGATGATGAAAAGAAGAATCCAAGAGGCGCTTATTCATTACAACTCATCCGTTATTTTCATAAACATTTTACTAAATTAAAAATAGTTATATAATTTAGTTTTATTCTAATTGTAGTTTTGTATTTTTTAACTCATCTCGAATTCTATTTTGAAAAAAATGAACACCATTTTCCTTCGATGGCGATAAGTATCCTGGTTTATAAATCCCAGCATCAAGGTTCTTTTGTACGTATTCACAAATCAATTTATCTTCTTTCATAAGATCTATTGTTCTAATCATTGCTCGTTTTGCTGTTGCTATTCGATCTTTCATTTGTGATTCATCCGTACTTGAACGTACAAAATAATCATAAGCTAACAATGTTTGATCTTTACCAATTGGGAGAATATGGTCAATACCAAAATATGTGTCATATAAACTGAGTGTTAAATTTGGATAAATATAAACCCAGAGAAATTTTTCTTGGTCATTTCCTTGTTTATTTAAAGGGGCATAATGAATTGAATATATATTATTTTTATTTGTCACGACATATTCTTTTGCTTTAATCTCGTTATCAAGTCCTGGATGTACAGCATGAACATGATATCCTTCTTGATAATTTTCAACAAACGTTTTCCAATTACACTTTAGTAAATAATATTGGGTTTCATAATGATGATGTTCATTTTGAGTAAAATGCGCCATATCATTTAATAAATCATGCAAAAGTGTATTTATCGATGGCTTTTCTTTTGTATCAGATAAATTAACAAAAATAAATTGTTCAGCAAATATTTCAAAGTTAATTTTCCTTAAATTTAAACATTTCTTTTCTACTGGTTGAAATTTATGATTAAAATTAGGTGTTGCTTTTAATGATCCATCACGAGAATCATATAACCATGCATGATAGTGACATTTAAGTAAAGATTGATTTCCATAAAGTGCACTTCCATAATGATTTAAATTAATTGGAACAATTGCACCAGCTCGATGAGAACAAACATTATGAAAAGCAATTAATTCATTTGTTAAAGGACTTCGATAAATAAATATTGGATATCCAGCTATTGTAATTGATAAATAATCACCAAGTTTCTTTAATCTATCAAGTCGACCAGCATAAATCCAATTTTTTCCAAAGATATTTTCACGTTCTAATTGATAAACAGTTGGATCATTATAAAGGTATGGGGGTAATGGTCGAAATAGTTCTTTATCTGAATTAACGGTTGTTAACATTCGTATAAAAGATTTTTGTGTATTTGAAAATGATGTTTCTTTTAAGAAACTTTTAATGAAGACAACAAACGAACGATTCATTCTAGAGATCTATGGTCAAATGTGGATATTTCTAGTTGCCTAAGGAGTTTTTTTTAGAGGTAAATGTGAATAGATATGGTTTAGGTAAGACGTTTAAATAGAATATATGTCAACAACAATGATAAGAATGTTTTTTCTTTGTCTTTTCTTGTTTTTCGTGTGATACTAGGTATCATACTTCATGTTATATTTTGACCAGAATTCTTCTGAAGTTCCATCTATGGGCAAAGCGGGGGTGTGGGGTGGGTGTGGGTGTGAGGTGGGGTGTGGTTGTGGGTGTGGAATGTGGGTGTGGGTGTGGGTAAGGAAAAAAAGACCGTCACCCATACCCCAGCCACCCACACCCCCACCCACTCACACCCAGACCCACACCCTAATAAGGTTTTTACATCTATATTAACAATGCAGTTTCAACTAATTTGAGATTTTATTTGAATTCATATTAGAAAGCCATTTGAGAAGACCCTTAAGCAAAGTTGAAACATATGCTATAGCAGTTTGTCTCACCTTCACCCTCACCCACCCTTAAACTTATTAAGATACAAGCAACATCGAGATGCCTGATATTGTGGTAGCTATCCATGTGTTTGATTACGATTAAAGCGCGACGCAGTTTCATAATAAAAGAAGATACAAGAGATTCGCATTTTACTAGTACTTTTATTGTCAATTTAAAAAAATTTACAACTTATAGAAAATAAAAAAAGTGAAAAAATATCTCACAAAAAAAGCAATCTACAAAAAGTTATACAAACGTTTTAAAAAAAAATTATAAAAAGTTTTCAAACAACTTTAAAAAATCTAAGACAATTTCGAAAAGCAATAATTACAACATTTTTTTATAATTTTTTAATTTTAATAAAAATGTTCTATAATTTAAAAAAAAAGATTTTAAAATTTTAAAATCTAGAAAAATATTTTTAAAAAGCTATGAATAATCTAAAAAGATTGAAGGCTTAAAAAAGTCAGATAGTTGTAAAAGCAATATTATGCACTAAATTCTGAAGAACGTTTCCTTTTTAATTACAACTTCTATTCGAAGAAGATAATAAAAATCTAAACTTAGTTCTACCAACTTAACACTCAAAGCTAAATATTTAGATTCTAATTCAGCGTTAAAGTTAAATAGTTGTTTAAAAGTTGTTGAAAGATTTTCGAATAGATCTTGCTTAATGAATATTTATTGAACTTGGTTTTTCTCAACGGTATGAAGAAATCTTAAAGAGATTTTATTTATAAATGCAGGAAAATGATGAGATACATTCTATTATTGAAAAGTGTCTTTGATGAATATATAAAAATCTTGTCTTTATGACTTCAATCATCTTCATCTTCGGTTGGTTGTGGTACAAGTTCAAGTGAATGTTCATGTCCTTTCTTTTCACATGTCGAACACAGATCATAATTACCACATGTGGAACAATTATATCTTTGACCAATTATAGGGCTCATGCTACATCCATCACATGATACATCATCCCATTTGAACTCATCTGCTGCAGGGGAAGCTAATGTTTGTCCTTGCGTCCATGTTTTCAACGCTTCTATACCTTTTCGTTTAACATCATCAACACCATGACGTGATAGAATTTTTCCATCTAATGAAACAATGAAAAATCTTGGAATATCTGCAGAAAAAAGAACATATGACTACTATGAAATATCAAGAAATAAAATAAATACTGACAAGAAGATTGAAAATATGTTTTGATAAAATGCTTTGAGTCTAACGGAACAGAAGGCCAAGGCATTTCCGAACGATATTCATTGAATGATTCCTCATTGAAATCAGATGACACGAAAACTATACGAAAAGGTAGAGAATTTGCTTGTGCTTCTTTATAAACTTCTATTAATTTTGGTGTAAAAATCCGACAAGGTTCACACCAATGAGCAGAAAAATAAAATCCAACACATTTAACATCATTTTCCCATATTGTTTTTGTTTCAATCTGATCTTCACTATTAGGATTAAGTAAATGAGGAACTGTTTTAAAAATTTGTTCGAATGAATATGGTCGTTTAGGTACTAAATATTCAATGAGAGGATGTTTATGTCCAGTTTTTAGTAGGCATGTTTCACATAAATCTATATAACAATTTTTATCTATGCAACCATGTCGTGAACCAATGATTGGACTCATATAGCATTGATGACAAATAATACCATCCCAAATATATTCACCCTCATGTGCTTCACGCGATCGAAATAAACATTTTCCTTTAGACCAATTACGTACAGCGTTACCATGATATACACCACGTATAAAATCAACACCGTCAAAAACAGTTCCTTCACGTGTAGGAGTAAATATAATTAAAGCTGGCATGTCTTTAACATAAAACTTGTCACGCAGTATTTTTGAACGATCTCGATCTAAATAAATACAATAATATCGAAACTTTCGGTTCGGTTAAGAATGTTTTTTATAGTGTCAATTTTATTTATTGTTTAATACAATAAGTTTTTCTTACAAAATACATTTTTTATATTCGAAAAAAGAAGATCTTTATTGAAAACCTGAGTTGCACTAGACATAATAAAATTGTTCTTTAAATATTCACTCAAAATATCTTCTCAGGATTTGAATTAAAGAAAAATATTCAACATACCAGAGTAAGGTAATGCTTTCCAGGGCATTGTCTTGAAATATTCATCAAAATCAGCTTGATCTTCGTCATACGAAATAAAAACAATTTCTAATTTATCCTCTATTTCACTATTATATGCTTTAAAATATGCAGCTAATTTTGGTGTAAAGTTGCGACAAGCAGAAGACGAATAAGCTCTAGTAAAAAAAACTCAAAACATGCGCCTTTCATTAATTAAATAATAAACAGACGAGAAATAAAGTCCAACATTTTTTTCAATAAGTTCATTAGTTGATATTTCATTTGATTCATTGTTAGATTCATTGTGTTCAAGCAGCTGTTCACCTAACAATTCATTCAAGGTCATTGTTTTGATAGTATTGGCAATGTCTACTAATTGCTCACGACTTGTTGTCATGGTTGTAGAATAAATTGGTAACGAAAACACAATATTGTCTTGTTATATAGAAAAGAATAAAAGAGATGCAGTTAGTCATTAGGTGGTTGTGAAATATAACATGGAAAATGTTATGATTCTTTCTTTCTTCCCGTATCGTCTATGGGCTTATTCATGCATTCTTTTTCCTTTCTGTTATAATGTGGAACGTAGGATTTTTGTTGAAAAGGAAAGATGCTAAACACCAATGATTCATACTATTGGCAGCAGATTTGAAAGTTACTAATGCACTAAGAGTATAGACATCATACGATGGATTTTATCGAATGATTTTTTTCATTAAATGATCTCAATTCGGATGTTTATTTACATGGACTACGACGAGTTTCCATCAAATACCGTATAACCATTCTAAAGTAAATTACTTTTCAACATTAGTGCCCCCTATATTTTTTCTATTGTTGATTTTAACTGACATCCTTCTTTTTCCAGCACTGACCGCATTCTACGAGTTCAGAACTCGTCAGAAACGCTAAGAAATTTTAGAACTCTGAAAACTGTTACAACTTATAAAACTCTAAGACCTCTTATAAATATAGAAACTCTTGGAATTCTCAGAACTTCTGGAACTCATAGAACTCTAAGGACTCTTGGAATTCTAAGAGCTGTCAGAATTCATAGAACTCTAAGAATTTTTGGAACTCTTAGAACACTTGTTAAGATCTACTTTCATATTCATAATTTAAACAATTAATGAAATTCGTGAGTACAATCAAGTAGAACTTAATCTTTTTTGTTTATTTTTTATCTGGCACACAAGTGGCAAGTATAGTGTATATATATACCTAAGAAAAAGGAGAAAAACATAAAACGGAGAAAACAATATAACTTACTATAGATGTCATAGTCTGATAACGCGTGAAACTCTTTGAAATCATAAAACTTTAGGGTGGATGCGGGTGAATGTGAATCTGTGCATAAATCTTCTTCACAGCCACACCATAGAGTTTTGAAAGTTCCCAAAAGTCCAAGATCTGTAACAGTTGTAAGAATTCCAAGCGTTCTATGAATTCTAACGGTTCTATAAATTCTGAGAGTTGTTAGACTTCTAACTGTTTTCGGAGTTCCAAGAGTTTTAATATTTCTAGGAGTTTCTAGAATCCATGAAGAGTGCTGAACTTGTAGAGTTCGGGCACATTTCATTGTCGCAATTATGGATGTATGATAAAAATAAATTATATACGATTGGAAAAAGGGAAAGTTCTCAATCTGCTAGATAAAAGCTTTTTCTTTCAGTATCTTTCTATGACAGAGAAATAGAAGCCGACATTCATTTGATTATTTTTGCATTATATGTTACTTGTTTGTAAATAAAAATTATTTTATTTATAAAATTCTTTTCAAGAGAAAAAACAATACGTTGAATAAAAATCTTCATAAATATTTCTTACTTTCACGTTTTTAAAATATTTAGAAAAAAGAAAGAAAACATATCAAGTTTCACAAAAAAAGCATGTCATTCAGAGCAGACTTGGTGTTATTCTGTTTCTAAAATCCGATCAGTTTACTAAGTATACATTCATCTATTGATGATAATACTTCAGTGAAACTTGCTAGCGACTCCAAATGTCATAATTCTAAAGCGACTAGCGGAAGTACCCGATGATGGTAGACATAACGATAATATATACTTGACATATTAGAAAAAGACGTCGTTATGATCTCCTATCAATTATTGGACTTCGATATTACAAAACAGATTCAGATCACTTTCCCTTTTCAGTTGTTGCTTTCGTCATTTTTAATTTTTTAAAAATATTTCTATCCTTTTCGATGTTCTTTTTGTTTGATCGACTTTTTTTATTAGAAATGACTGTGTTTAATGAAATACAATTTTTATTGCAAAGCTGTTTCATACACAACGTTCTTGGTTTTTGCATCAGGGTGTGGGTGTGGGTGGGTGTGAATGTGGGTGATGTGGGTGTGGGGTGGGGGTGGGGGTGGGGATGTGGGTGTGAGTGGGGTGTGGGTGTGGGTATGGGATGGGTGTGGGTGTGTGGCTGTGGCTGTGGCTGTGACTTTGGGTGTGGGTGTGACTGAGTGCGTAAAGAAGATGCATACCCAAACTCACATCCACACCCACACCCACACTCACACCCCACCCACACCCCACCCACACCCATACCCTATCTCAACACCCATACTCCATTCGCAGTGCACACCATACTCACATCGCCACTCTCTGCCGATACAATGAGACTGTGAACGAAGAGAGTAGCTAAAGAAAATAGTATATCAAGCGTGGGGCAGCAACCAAACCATTCCAAACAATGAAAAAGAAGCGACAGCAGCATCACCAATATAAAACAAGTGCAATATTACTTTATACTTTTAAGAGCAAACGTCTCGAGCAATTCGAAGGTGAATTTTGAAAAATATGCGAGAGACAACGATGCTATTAAAACTCATCCTTAAAAAATGTTCGACTAATTTTGGGAAGATGAAACATTTCATCTCTCAATCAATTGTTGCTGAAGAAGAAACCATGTTCTGTCTTGCTGAGCAACAAAGATCCTTGAGATCTCGCTCAACTTTCAACAACTATCATAAACATGAGATAGAACGTGACATAAACATCGCATTAAAGATCAAACACCGGTTCAAACATACCATTATGTAACACTATAACAGAATACATTTTCATTACACGTACATCATCAGCTCTAATAGAATAGCTACCTCAATTCTTCTCATCTCAGAAGCATTCCACCTTGAACTATCCTCGTTTTCGAAATCATAGAGGAAAAACCAAGCTGATAGCCATCATTTAAAACATCAACTGTCCAAATCATGAATCAAGAAGCTCGTCAATCTTTTCACTGTGCCATCAATGATGAACTGCGAAGAAAGCAAGCTACAAATCCAACAGCAACACATTTGGTTTTTCATAAGAACTGCCAAGGTTTCAGCTGCAGCAATGACTTGACCAAAACTAGAATGAATGTCCATGTTCAACTTCATCTCAAAGCTGATACATCTTGTGAAAGGTCAATTCTCAACCTCTCGAGTACCGACTGATTTGCTTTCGAGCTGTTGAATCGATGTGGATGAGTAATTCACTAACTCGACTTCAAAAAACAGTGCAAGGTAGATAATTAAAGTTCCGAATAGACTTTGTATTGATAAGTTTATTAAAAATTAGATATATTCATTGTGAAATCATCTGATAATATTCAAAACAGCAAAAATATGTGGTTTAGAAGGTCTATTCTCACACACATACATTTACAAATCCTCAAATAGTTGAAGCTTCTTTGCTCCACCTGTTACTTTACCTATCATTTATCAAACATCATTTTATTGTACTTTTCTCTTTTCGAAGCATTATTTTTGCAGTGAAAAATTAATTATATAGAAAACGTTGGAGTAATATCAAATTTCTATTTATCGAAAGATTATGTCGTGTGCTTCTTAACTTTTGGCCAATGTGAAAAACATAATCTATTCATTAGATAGATAGACGCGTACTGCTACTATTCTGTTTTATTTAAACACAAATGATGGTCTCAATAGTTATTCGTTGTTTTGCATTTGTTCTCTTCAGGTAATTGTAAAATCTATTATTTTCTTATTCATCTAATCGTGAACAGTTTTCCTTTTAAGTCTTACAGGTTTGATTCTTGTTTTGTTTTACATATTCTTCTAGAAATTTAGTATATTGATAGTTCGAGTGAGATCTCAAATATGTAGTGGAATATCTCAATACGGTCAATGTTCATCCAATACTGGATGTGTCTGTTTCCATATAGCAGGTGTTATTGACACTGGCATTTGTACTGATCGATTTGTGGATTGTTCTGAACTAGTTCCATGTGAACAACCAAACAACCTTTGCTATAAACCAGAGCATAGATGTGTTCATCATCCTCTATGCCATAATGTGTCTGTTTGTTATCCGGTTCCGAGTTTCAATCAACAACTATGTCCACTGATAATAAGTAAGTAAACAAACAATGATTTAGAGAATTAGATGAAACTCAAATCTTTCTCAAACATATTTCTTCATCATGCACACATCATCATCTATTCAATTCATTTTAGTGTAGGAATGATGGAGAAAAGTCACAGAACGCTTGAAAAATGTGGATGAAATATGACGGAGATAAAATGAGTGGTAGTTATTGATGAAAATATCTCTTCTCATGGACCACATCTAGTAATAGAAAATATAGAGTACGTTGCATTTGTATCCAGCAATATGTGAAGACATAGTGAACTTTTGAATGTGCATCAGAGATTGAAACAAAGTGAAACATTAACCGTTCGATTCGACTTGATTTTATAGAACATGAGTAATATTTGAATTTCCCTTAGTAGAGACTAATACTTTTGTGCTATGCTTCTTTTTATTGACAATTTTCATTGTATAGTCGACTAATTCTTGTGAATATTCTGTCAAAATAACTGTGATTGGTAGTTAGCACACAAGAAAAGAAAATATGTCTAGAAATCAGACAAATAATCTATGATATTTTAGATGAGACGATGTTTTCACTGTCACACAACTCTTTGTTTTTTCGATTAGATGTGATTCAATCGAATAATAATGAATCGAGACGTCCTACATTTTACTTGATTTCAATCTCTGATGAACATAGATTTTCCATCAAAAATTAGTTTTCACAAAAGATTTTCATTATCAAACTATCTGAGGTCGTCACTCTACTTTGCAACTCTGCTCAGATTTATCTAAAACTAAAATGCACTCAGTTCTGTATTATCTTCTACGTCAGATCTAAAACTATCTGCTTTGTTTACATAAATATTCTATGATAATGAATAGCGATGAACACTTCAACTACAACTGCAATACCAATGACAACGACAACTAAAACCACAACTCAACAGCTGAGTAAGCATTATATTAACATTTCTTGATCGTGGCAAATGCTTATTTTTAATTAAGTATATATAGATAGTTCTTTTGTATGAAATATTAATCTGCATTTAGCTGAAGATAA